TTGGGCAAAGTTGTTGGGGTCAACTGCTAAAATCTTAATTGTCTACTTAACGTTTTAAACGACAGTTTGTTAGTAAATTTCTTGGCCAGCCAGAAGCTCAAACCACCTTCAGTTTGTTTTTCAAGCAAAATTGAAAATTGTTGACGACTCTGTCAATTAGGGAGAAGTGTCTCCATATTTTAGGCGTGAGCTTAGGAGACTTGAGCTTTGTTGTAAGATGCCTTCACAAGTTAAAAACGAAAAACATTAACATTAAAATTATAAACAACGCTTCAATAATTAACGTCATCTCGGAGGACATAAATTCTAAGGAGCCATCATACCTTATAGAATACGCACTGGCTAGACTTGATCGCACAGCACACGATGCCTAAAACTGCTATAAGCTAAAGGTAAAAAAATACAATGTCACAAACTTCCTCAATGTACTGCTCCGTCAACTCGTGGGTCCGCTGAAGGGTTGCGAGGTTGTTAACATAGGAACCGGCTATAATCGATAACGGCTTGCTAATGTACCATAAAAAGTAACTTGCAATGCTGCGAAGCACATACGGTATCTGCAAGCAATACACAAATAGTGGTGTATTCTACAGATTCCTTAAAAAAATGGTGGTGAGACCTCTACGTCTTTATTAAAATGGTGGCCGTATATGCACATGCGAGGCAGTTTTCTACGGGCGGAAAAAAAGGGAGGTACGAAACAACTGGATAAAAGGGATTTAAAAGGGATCGACGCATTATAAATAACTAGCAAAACAACGACCGTCTAATTCACGAATTTTATTCCGCAGAATTTGTAAACATCATGAAATTCGGTGTTAATCGACTGCCTTCGCTATTTTGCACATCCTACTTGCTGAAGCTGTGGAAAAAACATGTCAAAAACGAACTTCCAAACATTTAAGCAGTAAAATATACCTTTAGAAGGAAAACAAATTGCTGAAGTGCCGGAGGAATCACTTCATTCGAAAAAAGCTGCAGCATGTAACTTGCACCGTACGGCATCACACTGCGGTAAAACAGCGATGCAGCCTTCTCCGGATCTGGTAAACGGAACGAAACCAATTCATGCCCGATTGCCTTCAATTTTTCGACCGTTTCCAAAACAACTCTCGAACATCTAAACGAAATCCACATAAGATGCGTACATTGCAACGCCCCTAAACAGTCACTGCGCCCCAAAAAAAGAAAGAGCAAATGGAGGTACTTTTAACTATTCCGACCACGAATGCATGTGATCAGCTGCACAGAGTACAAACTGAAAACTTTACGGACTTAATACGCCCAAACCGCCTCCATTA